AAAGTCTTTTTTTTTTTTTATTTTTTTTTTTTTATTATTTTTTATGGACTTAGTCTAACAGAATCTTACGGATCTGGCTCCCTAATAGTCCATATCCATTCTGGGGAGCATCAGTACGGTTCCTTGCTCCAGGCCTCTAATTTGTGCTTGTTGGGTGAATAATATGTCAGCAGAGGCGGCGGAAAAGAAGGGTGACGGTTCGGAGACAGAGGAGAAGACGTCTGAGGAGCTGATGCTGGAAGCGGTGGAGTGGCTGCGCAAGGCAGCAGATGCAGGAGACCCTTTAGCCCAGAACAAGCTTGGGGTGTGTTGTTCGAGGGGAGAGGGGGTTGAGAAGGACGAGTCGGTTGCTGCGGAATTGTACCGCAAGTCGGCCGATCAAGGAAACAGCAATGCCCAATGGAATCTGGGATGCTTGTATTTTCATGGCAAAGGCGTTCCCAAGGACATGCCAGAGGCCGTGAACTGGTTCCAGAAGGCGGCCGATCAGAACGATCCGAGGGCTCAGACGCATCTCGGCTACTGTTATGAGAAAGGACTCGGAGTTGAGCGAGATGAAGCGCAAGCGCTGTCGTGGTATACCAAAGCGGCGGAACAAGGCTATGCCCCCGGGCAGCACAATCTCGGATGGTGCTACGAGAAAGGCGTGGGGGTCGGAAACCAAGGCAACCCCTCTGCTTTCCCCTCTGAGGGCCAACTTGGGCCAGACGGTTATCCGCTGATGGCACCACAAGAGATGCAAGCGCAAGAAGAAGCACAAACACTCAACCGAGCAGAGGCCGTGAAGTGGTACACGAAGGCTGCTGAGCAGGGGTTCGCAGAGTCCCAGTGCAATTTGGGTATCTGCTACAGAGATGGACATGGCGTGGACAAGGACGTACTCGTGGCTGAGCAATGGTTCCGAAAGGGTGCCGAACAAGATCACAAAGGCGCACAGCGAAACCTCGGCCTCCTCTTGTACGACAAAGCTAAAGGTAACACAGCTTTATAATTGTCCCCGCAATTATACAGACATAGTTTCCTCTTGTTGGAATGCTTATTAAGTAGTATTAACGAACAGAACATAACCTCAACGATGACTGCTTAATATTAACTTAATGCAGACATAATCTCGTCCTCCTTTGACTTTCTTTCCATTACATCCCACAACGATGACTGCTTACGTGTGTAGTTAGGTCTTCTTCTGTTCTGTGCCTCTCGCATTCTCCAAAGACATGCCTCTTCCTACCGTCTTCCCCCCGAACAGAACATACGGTCATTACCGCCGTATATATATATATATCGTCACAAATAGAACTGCCCGGTAAACCGTAGGCAGAGAGAGAGAAGAGGACAACAAACGAGGGGCTGTGTATATATATATCGTCACAAACAGAACTGCCCGGTAAACCGTAGGCAGAGAGRGAGAAGAGGACAACAAACGAGGGGCTGTGACAAACTGTTTCGTCGGAGTTTCACCGACTCATATGTCTGTCTCTTATACACATCTATGGCGTGGACAAGGACGTACTCGTGGCTGAGCAATGGTTCCGAAAGGGTGCCGAACAAGATCACAAAGGCGCACAGCGAAACCTCGGCCTCCTCTTGTACGACAAAGCTAAAGGTAACACAGCTTTATAATTGTCCCCGCAATTATACAGACATAGTTTCCTCTTGTTGGAATGCTTATTAAGTAGTATTAACGAACAGAACATAACCTCAACGATGACTGCTTAATATTAACTTAATGCAGACATAATCTCGTCCTCCTTTGACTTTCTTTCCATTACATCCCACAACGATGACTGCTTACGTGTGTAGTTAGGTCTTCTTCTGTTCCTGTCTCTTATACACATCTAGATGTGTATAAGAGACAGGTGTATATATATCGTCACAAACAGAACTGCCCGGTAAACCGTAGGCAGAGAGAGAGAAGAGGACAACAAACGAGGGGCTGTGACAAACTGTTTCGTCGGAGTTTCACCGACTCATATGTAGAGAGAGAGAGAGAGAGAGAGAGAAAGAGAGACTGAAGTTTGGCCCAAATGCAGGCAGAATTTCCGTACTGAAAGGGTTTCACCGAGTTCATGCAACAAGTGCAGATAGCGGGATTTGATCCCCGGACTTTCCCCAACCCAGTGTATAGTACGTTCGTAACTTCGCGTTGTTCGTTTACCCCGTGTGTCTTGAACGCACTGGCACGACCTGTCCCCAAACCCGTGTATAAATGCTTTGTGTGTGAAGCCTGGGTCGTGTGGATTTGATCCGTAGGTCTATTGCGTTGACGTGACCTTTCGAAAGGTCAATTGGCCATAGTACGTCCTCTGAAAGGTCAGTAGGTCGTGGCTAGGTTGGGTCTCGAAGAGTCAGCTTGACCTCTCGAAGTCAGTAGAGGCAGCCCGTCAAATATCTGAAAGGTCAAGATTCCCAAGTCAACCCCGAAGGGGGCACATGAAAAGGCCGTCCCAGTCCAGTCCGTTTTGCAGCGAGTGCCGAGTGGGACTGCACATCTTGAGAGCCTGGGACATCGGGCAGTCCCAGACCACCAAACGAAACAGTATATACATAGAGGCAGGGATCAGTCGGTCACTTATTCTGAGATCAAACTACGCGGAAGCGCTGCTTGAAGTGGCTTGTGCGTCGAGTCACAGGTGGTCAGCAGGAGAGCCCGGGTTGAAGAGGACAAGCGGCCGTAGCCGCTTGGAGGGAGGAAGACGACGGCAGCCATAGCTGCCCGTATGTAGAAGACAGAAGATAGAAGATAGTGTGTGTGTGCAGACATTCTGGAATTTCTGGGTAGATCCAAGTGTTGTGCGCGTACGTGCGTGTGTGTGTCCCCGATGGTGGATACACTGTTCGGGTGGGAATTTCAGACTGGCGCTCAGCCGCCATAGCCGCAAGATGTGACAAGTTGACTTCAGCTGAGCTGCCTGTCTGAAGGCCATCATATCTCTGAGTTTTGTGTGTGGGCGCACTCTGCCATCTCAAGCTTGTTGCTGAGTCTGCTTTGAGGAAGTAGTTTTGCCATGATCGGCATCTGCATGGATGCATGGATGGATGCATGCATGCATGCATGTTGGACGTGAAATCGAGACGAGTCTGAATGGGGTACGTTATGTTTGGGTGAAGACGGGTTCGTTTCTCAGCATAAGACAAGAGTACCACTCCACGGAGCGCACGACCACGACATTACCCTACGGCATCTCAAGCTTGTTGCTGATTCTGCTTTGAGGAAGTTTTTCTGGCGCTTTGAGACGACGCCGTGCAGACTTAGAAGTTAGCAAGCAATGGTGATAGTGTTCCCTGTTCAGAGTCTTCAGACAGTGATGACAGAGTCTCAAACTTGCCTGGGCCCATGTACTGCCGCTTTGAGACACCTTGTACTGGGGTACTACTGTCTGCTTGAAACCACTACCGTCTTCCCTCGAACATAACGCAGCCTAAAAATGAATGTATAGAAGCGATATTTCCGGCCAGATACAGCCAAAGTAAGGGTGCGTTCTGTTCGGCGGAAGACGGTAGTACACAGACCCAGCCTTGCAGTCCACCAAAACTTGTCGCCACAAGAAACCGAGGCACAGGGGCCTCCCCCACCAAAAAAAAAAAAAGGGGCAGGCCGAAATGTCAAACGCTGGGCCTGCCGTTGATAAACTGGATCGGCCGTCGCTTTTTCATTTCGCACTTCCAGAATTCGACGTGTCAGGCCCGGGGCCAAGGCCCACTAGCAGCGTTGAGCTACCTCAACGCCTGAATCTGGACGCTTTTGCGGAGATGTGCAGAAATGGTTTTGAGTTTCCTGAACTGCACGTCTCCACAAACACGTCCAGATTCGGGCGTTGAGGGTGCTCAACGCAGCTAGTGGGACTTGGCCCCCGTGGCCCAGGTGCCCATGTACTGGTGCTTGAAAAGAAAAATGCACTCTAGAGTCTACCTTCTTTCCCGGAACACAACGCACCCTCATTTTGACTGTATCGGGCCGCAAGCATGCCTTGTATACGTTCATTTTCAGCAGCTTCCTACAGCTTTTAGCTTGCTCATCCCCAGAGGCCCCTTAGGTTCCTGAATCAAGAGGTAAATGGCAACTGCCGTAAATGCACATGACTCCGATCACACTATTTATTCATCGAGCCAACTACGCCTGTAGCCAAACTGACCTCCGAAAAAAAAAAAATGTACCGGCAAGTCACTCATGGGCCAAGTTCGGATTCCGAAAGGCGATAAAAGAGAGGCGCTTGCATCAACATAGCAGAGAATAAGATGGAAATAGCAGAGGGCCACTGGCCTCGGGTGCACTCCCCATCCCGAGCCATCCCTCTCTAGAAAACCAGAAAACAAAAACACTTCTCAACAAGCTAATTCCTAATACTACCTAAATGCCGCGAAAACTCAAAGAAAGTTTTGCCGAAAATCATATCACGAAAAACCTATGGCGAACACAACCACCAAACCCCACAGCTAAAACCTAAAACAAAAGAAAACCTGTAAAAAGCCACAAAACAAAAACGCTACTCAACAATCGAATTCCTAATACTACTTAGAATCTTAGATACTACTTAGATACCATGAAAAACTCAAAAAACAGAACAGAAGCACCAGAGCTGCACATTCTGAAGTTCTGAACGCAGTCTTTTTTTTTTTTTTTTTTTTTTTTNTTTTTTTCCGCTTGTAACTTTTTTTCAAAAGTTTTGCCACTGCTGCTTTTTTTCTTCCTGGCTTTTTTTTCTCCTATTCAGACGAGTGGAGAATGGTGGTGTAACGTGTGGGGAAAGGGGGTAGGCCCTAACATTGTTGTGTCCGTCACGTCTGATTCCATCAGGATTTTTTTGACTCACAGTCAGTTCATTAATGATTTTACATGTTTGCGCACTAGCTGGCCACATCGGCAGTGCTATTGAGTTATGCAGCAAATCTTTTTTTTTCTACTTTTTTCTTCAACCAGCCGTACATCTGAACGCTTTTTTTTTTTTTTTTTTTTTTTTTTTTTAAAAAAGCAAGTACCTCAGGGTCGCGTGCACATTGGGCCTCCCTGTGAGCATTACCGGAGCCAACGGACTGGAGATCGATGACCGGTTTCATGCCAGGAACCAGTAGTACCTTTGCCGTGTGGGAAAATAGTGGGCCTCGGTTGGTCTTCTGACTTTTTCGGAGGCTGAAACGAAGTGACGACCGCCGATCACATTTATCAATATCAATGGCAGTCGTCGTTGGGCCCGACCTCCGAATCTTTAGGAGTTTGGGAAAACTGCCACTTTTCCCTATTTTCCCAACACTGGTGGGGCCCTTGTGCAAGGCCTCCATCCCGGTGGTGGTACTAGAACCACCCGAATTGAGGCTTTGCCTAGTGGGCCGCTCCATCTATTGGTGGGAGCGGTCGCCACAAAACTATGTTGGCCCGGCCGGGCAAGTGGTCCCGGGCCACTCTGTTAGCCTCGAACATTTAATATTTGTTGATTTATTTATTTACTTATTTATCTGTCAGTTTGTTTGTTTGTTTGTTTGTTTGTTTGGTGGGTGGTTGCTTTGGTGGTTTGTCGGTTTGAAAGAGCATTCTAGTCCAGAGGTTGATGACATCAGCGCCCTAGCTTTTACCGGTCATTGACCCATCTTTGGGCCCCTTTGATTCCTCAATCAAGACGTAATCGGCCTTAAAGTTTCCCCCCCACTACCCGTTTCAATCCACATCTATGTGATGCCAGAGGGTGGGCGCGTGATGCTGATGCGTTGAGCAGTGTACTTAGGCATCTGTGCGTCTTCCCCAGAAAGTGGCCAGATGCATCTGTTGATATGAATAGCAACGGAAGCATCTTACCACTTTCTGTGGAAAGATGCATTTGTTCTCTTTTCGTTTCGGCAGTGGCGTGGCCTGCGCTCGGGTCTAATCTGTCGTGATCAGAGTGTGATGTGAGTTTTGCTGTACGTCGTCGTGTGTTACGAATGACTGTGTTCAAAAGAAATTTGACTCACGTTTGGAACACATCCATGGGCGGCAACCTCTCGTCTATTAAGCTGGTGATACTTAACTTTTTTTTCTTTTTTTTTTTGATACTTACTGTTTCTGGGCTTGTGGTCTTTGATTGTCCTCTTGTTTTTTCTGCAATCTCCAATGGATACCATGGCTCGCTGGACGGATGGGT